CCCCCCCCCCCCCAGCCCTGCAGAGCCACCGGCATCGTCAACTACCCGCTCGAGTCCTCATTAAATCACTCGAGCCGCCATCGTCTGAGCAGCACCATTATTCACGCAGGCTCCAGACCCCGTTCCCCACTGTTAATTTCTACTTATCTGCATATTTTATTGAAAATTAAAATCCTTTTGCATTTTTCCCAGGGCTCGGTCGTGAACGATCTTTTCTTGCAGCCCTACTTGACTCCAATTAGTTGGGATAACAAAGCTGCCGCTGTTGGAGGATTATTGACAAATGCTCAAGGAAAAAAAATGGTAAAAGAATAGTCTATTAAAATGACAGCTTTTTAAGCCTGGAAACAAAACCGCCAGGCAATTAAGAGTGCTGGGGAGGCACAGAAAATACCAATTCGTAGTTTTTTGATGGCATTTCAATTGATTAGCCTGCTCGAGCTTTCACTTTGTGCCTTGCTTCTCTTCGTTAAACTGACGGGTCACCACCAGCATCCCTCGCGCTGCTGCCGCGTCCACCCCTCCCCACCCGGGGGCCACAGGGCCATCGGCACCAGCCGTGGCTCTGCGACATGAGCCGGGGGAAGCCGGGGGCATTGAAATACATCCCGTAAAGGAGAGGCAGCCCTGCCCTGCCCGCCCGCAGGGACGCTGCCCGTTTCCCAGGCCTCGTGCTCTTGCACTGAGCTGCCCGTAGACACAGTTCCCATGGGCGCCCGTCGGCACAGGGCTCCTGCCCCTCAAAACCTGCTCGATGCAGCTGCAACTATGGCACAAAAGGACTGAGAAGCATTGAGAGCAGCACAACTCATTCACTGATAACTCGTTAACGGCGTTTCATATTTTTTCCCTGGCTTTTTTTTTTTTTTTAAATAAAAGAATAGGGGGGTAAAAATGAAGCATACTTGATAAAGGGCAGTAAGTGTTATCCCTAAAAAAAAAAAATAATAAAAACCTCACAGAGCTTTTTTTCTTTCATAGGTGGCTCGGACAGCTGGCTCTTTAAATATTAATCAGGGGCTCATTGATATGCAAATATGGTAAGAGGGAATAATGCTCCTGCAGCTGCGCAGCCCCCAGCAGCCCCGGCCGAGTGTTGGCCTCCTCTCCACCATGAATGGAAATATCTGAGGACACAGGTGCAGGGAGCCGACCGCGAGCAAGATCCTGCTTAATAAGGTAATTTGTGAGCGATGCTCTATAGAGACGAACCGGAGCAATCTTTTACCACTTGACAGTATCTGACCACTAAACAAGGTGTTAATCTTATAATTGTGGTGTTGACTGTTCCCTAGCACAGCGTTCCTGGCCTTTTGCCCTGACACTTGGCCAGTTAAAATCAACTTAACTGACAGGTCGGACGCACGCCAACCGATTGGCGATAAATTATTTATTGTTCTATTTCCAGAATAACAAGTAAACAGGAAAGACGGGGCATCCCACAGAGAGAAACCCAGTTTGGATACGGATCGTTGGACTGAGTCGCGTGGGCACCCCTGTCCACCGTCCCCCGCTGGGCCGCGATCCCCAGATCTCACCTCTTTCTGCCAGGAAGGTGGCCACATCCCATCTTGCAGGAGCAAAACCGTCTCTGCCGATGGGTCCGGTGGTGCCCTCCGTGCTCAGGGACCTGCAGGTGGGGTTTTGGGGTGGTCACCCCCTGTTCCTCATGCAGCTCCTGATACCCAGTCTCCTCTTCAGTGAACTGTGGGGCAAGAAGAGAGACCAGAGGCAATGGCAGAGCCTGGTGCAGACGTCACTGCTGGGTGTCTGTTGGCTCCCTCTGCTAGGCCGGGTGAGGACTGGGGAGGTGGAGCAGGTCGGGGTGGCAAACATGAGCTCCCCAACCCGGGGATCTTGGCCCATCCCCGTGTCCTTGCTCCAAGGCCATCCATGCTGCTGCCATGCCCATGGCAGGGACCTTCTGCAGGCCAGACAACTGGGAAGGTGGGTCAGAGCCTTTGCAGCATTTCATGTAACCAGAGCCAGTGGAGCTGGACACCCACAAGTACCCGTAGGGCTCAACTCACACATTTTGCTGTTTCCTGTCATTGCTGTTAGCACAGGTGGGTCTAAAGGCCAGGGAAAGAGGGTAAGCAGGGCCTCTGTGAGGGCACTGTACAAGACACCCTCTATCACCACCCAACATAACCCAACGTGCCACATTGCTTATTTAAATGCTTGTACCCCCCTGCTATGCTGCTTCAGAAGGGATGCCCTTGCCACCTCCCACTCCCACCACTCAGGGCAGAGCTGGCCCCAGGACACGGTTCATTCCAGCTCAATAGAGTTGTGTTGGGGCTGCTCTATCCCACATGGGACACAACAGACACATCCTGCCCTTCTGTAACAGCAAGAGGAAACAAGCTCCGAGGCTGCGGATACAAGACCCGCTGTCGCTGACTATTTTTAAGATTTGCCTCCTGTGGTTGCCGTCCTCCTTTTTCCTGCCAAGCTTCCTTGCCCAGGCTCCTGGTGATGAATGACCTTGTCCGGGTACCGCCGGTACCAGGCGCACGCAGCTGCGAGGCTTTTTTCCCGGGCGGGCGCTGCAGATGGCTGCTCCGCCGCCGAGCCCACAGCTGCACCCTCCCTGCTCGCTGCTCTGCAGCCGGCGCGTGGCCGCGCCACAAAGGGACAGAAAATGCAATTAATTAAAGAAAAGGAGCGAGCGGGAAGGGATGCTGGGATGTCTCAAGGAGCCGACCGAGTCACCCCCAGCTCGCCCTGCAACCAGCACGTCTGGCCTCGCCACGGCTGGCTCCGGTTTCGGCAAGTCTCTGGCCGCGTGAGCGCCGCTTGGATCGGCAGAGGGGTCTTGAGCAATGGTTCCCTGAGTGTTGTTGTCTTTCCCAGAGGAGCTGCAGGCCCTCCCAGAGACAGGGAGAAGCACTTCTTATCCTTGTCTTTTGGCTCAAACTTCTGACCTTCCCAGTGTCAGTTCTTGGCTGCTGGGTCCTGCTCAAGGCAAAGCTTGGCTCCTGCTGCATGCCCTTGCAGGCAGGACTGGATGTGGCCGCGACAACCTTTGTACGTACATGGGTGCTACAACCACTGTAGGTACAGGCAGCATTGCCCCTCCATCTGGGGACAGACAAGATTATCTCAGAGCCTGAAGTCATATCATTTCAGTCACCTTGGAATTTGCTTAAAGTTTTGCAAAACCTTAGCCTGTATAAAAGTTACTTTATTCCAGGAGATAGGAACAATTCTACCCAGCCTTATAGACTGGCTGCCTGCTTCCCAAGTACATTTATCTGTCTTAGCGTCTCTACACTTGCATTATTATTCATAATTAATGATTAATGAGAAATTACTACTAACAATTATTACTTTATATGCTTTCAACACTTTACCGGGAGCAAAACTGCATCTATAACCTGGCACATGGAGATCCCACTTTCCCACTTAGACCCCACTTTCCATCACTTCAGGGCAGCAGTTGCCTCTCGAATTTGGCCCAGGAGACAAAGATTAATTTGCCAATTAAATGTACCATCTCCGGAGCAACACCCGGGGTTGCTCATTCCGTACTGGTGGGGTTAACACACTCAGCGCAAGAGCCGTCTGTCGGCTGCCAGAGCTCACCCCGCCGATACAACTCCGATCCCTCCTACTTGCTGCTGTTTTCTTCAAAAAAATAAAACCTTCATCCAAGTTGACAAGCAGCCGGGCTACACCGTGGTCCTCATCTGAAATCACCCTGAAAGGGCTGAACCCTGGGGCTGCTCTGGGAGGATGGAGTTTGTGTTGCGCCAGGGCCGGAGGAGGATGCGGCCGTGCCGGCACCAACCGCTCCTCTGGCTGTGCCGGGACTGTGCGCTGTTGCAGCAGACAGCTGCCGCAGAGGTATCTTTTTACCCTGGACCTTGTTAATGAACAAAGCTTAAGAGAGTGTGGGCGGCTGGGCTAGACGGAGAATAAACAGGGATTAGCAGCGCATAGCCCCCGAGCGAGGATCGGGCTCTTTTTTCCCCTGCACTTGAAACCCAACTCCTCGCCACGGCAGCGGCCAGTCCTGCACCAGCCAGGAGTGTTTCTCCCCCTCTGGACGCTGCAGCCGTCCATCTCTAGCTGGGCAAAATTCGTTTTTGCAAGAGGTTTTAAATCAGCTGGGCAGCTGGCTCCTAGGATTTTATTTTTTGTTCTGTTCTTTCTGTGCCTGGGGTAAAACAGAGGCCAGGTGATGCTTTAGCTGTGGTGCATCTCTGCCCCAGCCTGCCTGCATCACCCCCGGCTCAAGTGGGGAGCAAACACCTCCCCAGCCACGCTGGGATAAACTCTCCAAGGTTCCTCAAACAAACCCACACAGGGCAATCTGCCCGCAGCCACGGCAGGGCCTGGTGGTATATGACCTGTGAAAAGGGGAAAAAAAAACAAAGGGAAAAACAAATTCCACATCTTGCCCACCCACGCATGTACACGGGGAGTGAGGGCACAGAGCAATAAACAGCTCATTCCCGGCCTGGCCGGCATGGGATGTGATTCGCTGCCAGCCCGGCTGTGATGTACGTTGTGCGTGTGTTTTATATGCACGCCATAAAAATAATGCTTTGTGAAGGATATATAAGCACCCAGGCCAGGCAGGGCCAGGCAGGGCCAGGCAGCTGGGAGCTTGGCTGGAAGACGTGCAGGCAGCGGGACCTGGCCAGGCGAACTGGCACGGCATGCTCCAGCAAAGGGGACACCGGTGGCTGCTGTCCCCAGGGCATGACGGCCCCGTGTCCACTCTGAAGTAAGGCCCAGAGCAGTTGCAGGATGGCTCACCTTTTGATTTTTTTGTTTGTAAATCTCTCTTTTTTAAGCAGGAAAGGCAGCGAGCACGCAAGCAGAGCAGCCCTTCCCAGGGAGCTGCTCCATCTCAAAATGGATGTTTGCTCTGGATGGGAGCAGTGAACAGCCAATGCTTCTTGTGAGGTGGAAATGAATTAAAAATCCACTTGAAAGCACAATGCTTCCCCTTCAGAAATAGCTCCAAACAGAAATGGCTTGAAACGATGCAATCCATGCTTTTTCCCCCTTGTAAAACCAAATATTTCATCTTAATACTGGGGGGGGGAAATGGTAATTCATTTGAATTTTCCTCCCTAGAAAATGATCTGGTGAAAGCCTCATTCTGCAGAATCACACAGGCAGACCCAGAGTGACCCATCCTGCTGCTCATCCCCCTGCTCGCTTGCAGGGTTCCCGGAGCTGCCGTGTCCCGGGAGCGCCCGTGCAGGCGGGGAACGGGCAGCACCACAATGCTGGGTGGGATGCTCGGGTTGCTCCATCCTGAGGAGCCATCCCCTGGTGGGTACTCCCTATTTTTGGCCCAAAATGAGGTAAGGCTTTGCACTAGACTAACACTTAATAAACATTCGTGTGAATTAGCAGAACGTGACATTGCGCAGCCCAATTCCTCACCGCGAGCTGCCAGCCCAGGCTGGGGCTGGCTTTGCAGATGTGTGTTCCTGGAAAACGGAAGGCCATATGGTAAATATTGGAAAAAACCTCCAATATATACAGCCCTAAATGCTTTTTCAGCTGATCAGATTTTACCTGGTTAATTGAAGTTTGTGTGATAAGCAGCAGAGCCCCAGGGCTCCAAAACACCCAGGTGCTGATGTTCAGTCCCATCCCTCTCGCCTGCCCTGAGAGCGTCTCTCCTTACCCCCACCACGTGCACCAGCACGGGTAGGGCTGCTCTGGGCACCAAATAACCAACCAACCTCCCCATGCCAATTCTGCAGGGACAAAATGACGTTCCTCAAAGTAAGACTCAAAAAATGCCCATTCAGCCCTAAAGCACAGCATGCCTCTGCCTTTGTCAGCCAAACACTAGAATTTCCTCCTCTGTAAAGCTGGAAAAGTATCCAGTCCACGCTGCTCCATGTTCCATAACGAGCAATTATTCCTTTCAAAAGTAAAATGAAATAAGAACCATTCCCATAATCACCTACCGGATTTTATCAGCATGTTTGGGTTATGCTTTTGCCCCTTTGGCTAGTACCTAATTGATTCTTTAATCTCTACAACTTTTTTATTGACTGATACAAGAGCTATTTAGCCCATCAGCGGCCGGAAAGCAGCCTGCAAACCCTCTGAGACCCACGACACGGTGCTAGGATGACCTCATCTGAAGCCAACGCTTTATTTGATAATCTATCACTTATTTATTATTCTAACTAACTGCTTGCAGGTGGTGTGATTTTAGTATAATTGTCCCAGCAACAGGCACACACGGGGAAAAGCTCAGCAAAGTGCAATCTTATCCGGAGCTGCTACCGCAGAGGAAGCAGACTCCCAGCCTGTGCCAGGGGAAATGGGGGAAAACCCGGCGTTTTGGTGACGCGAAGGGCAAGGAAAAATCTCACTGACTGCAGAAAAACGAAGGCAGGGTTAGTCCTGACCACTGGCTCGCTGGGGGAAGGAGGCAGAGCAGGATGGAGACCATTGATGCCATCAGGGTGAACACACACGGTGCCTGGTGTCACAGCTGGGGCCCAATTTGCACAGTGACGATTCGGCTCCACAGCTCAACTACTTCCTCCCTACCTGCATGTGTGCAAAACCTGAGAAAACGGAAGATTTTAGGCAGTGACAAGGTACCAGGCCATGGATGTCCCCACAGAGCCTTGCGTGGTCCTGGGCCTCCCCAGAGTCAGCACTGGGATCACCTATGGGAGCAGCATGGATGGCATGTGGACTCCGGAAGGTTCAGGCTGGCACACCCGATGTAAAATCCTGCATAAAGAATATGGGATTGGGGTTTATTTCTGGATGTGTCTGTGTTGTTTTTTTCCTACCTGGGGTGGGTTCTCGGCCCTTTGCCATCCCACCTGCACAGGGGTCGAGGTGGGATGGGTGCCCCAGGGAGGTGCCTTTGGCTCAGCTCCTGAAGCCCCCCCTAGTGCCACAAAGCTGCCGCTCCTGCACCAGAGACAGACCCAACAAGGATGTCCTTGCCAGCACAAAACGCGGGGATTGCTGCCTTCCCAGCCCTGGGGGGGGGCTGCTTCCACCACCCCCCCCAGCCTGCGCTGCTCCCCAGACTGGAAGCCAAGAGGCGGCGGCAGATAGAAACCAGCCCATGAATTGACAGCGCAACTCCGAGCCATCCAGCAACAGGCTTTTAAGATCAATTAGTCCTGCATTAGTCTCTGAGACTTTTGAGCTAGAAATTCCCCCAGGAATTGAGCCACTTAAAGCATTTCCCAGTGAGGGAAGGGTTTGAGGATGAGGATCTGGGTACCAGAAGCATCACTGGGAGAAGAGGAGGTGCCTTTCTGCATTATCTGTCCCCTCCTTGTCTGCCCAAGCTCCTTCAACCAAGCCAACGGCCTCAGCAAAAGAGGAAAATGGTATTTTGAGTGGCAAGACCCCGCTGCAGCTTCAGTTTTAACCCTGGCTGGGAAAAAAAAAGCAAGCAGGGGGTTGGGAGAATCATTTTTTCATTAAAATAAAAATCGATCCATAATGAAAATAGACTTCTAATGGGAAAAGTTTAGTGCAAATGGAAGCTTTTAAAGATTCTTTTGACTGACAATAACCTGAAGACCCTCCAGGAACTCCAGCCCAGAATAATCAGATTAAATGAAAACTAATATACGATCCTGAAATTCATCCCATGCTGGTCTAAACTTATAGCAGCTGGGTAATTTAGCCTACAGGTTTCTGCCTCATGCCCAGCAGTTCACACTGAATTGTTTAGCCAAACTTAATCTACTTGGAAGGAAAAAAGCTCTTTTCTTTAATATGTGTTAAAGTAAAGCCAGCTTCTAAAAGCAGCTGGGAGCGGGGAAGGTATACAAATACATGTATTTTCTACAGGAACTCCCAGACTGAAGGTTGGCTACTTTAAAACAAATAATTACGATTTATAAACAATCTAGGAATAAGAAAATTTCTGGGTTGGTGCACTGTGGCTGCTAGGACAGATAATACCTGGCTTATCTCGTGAGCCCTGCAAAAGGATCTCGCATAGGCACAGGCTCATGTCCTCCGGCAGCTCCTCGCCGCTGACCCCACTGTGGGGACCACGTTCCCAAAACACGAATCAAATCCACGCTTTTACCCACAGAAAGGTTTGAAAATATGACCTGGGTGTATCTCAAAAAAATCGAAATGGAAGGAATGACTTTTTCCCCAAATCTTAGAGTTTTTACACCAATCCTAGAGGGTTTTTTTGAAGGAAGGCTGTCCGTTCAAGGGGGTTTGGCGAGGGACAGATGTCCTGCCAGTGATTATGATGGAGTTGTGAACTGTTCTGTATTCCTGCAGCAGCAATAAACACTGATGGGAAAACAGAACTTCCAAATATAAATCCATCATTAAAGATTTTCCAGCTGAACCTTAAATCCCTGTGGGAGAGTAAGCACGGGGTGCATTAACAGACAGCACAGGTTTCCATCTGACCACCAGACAGCTCTCCTGGAGGGCTTGGAGACAGGTAGATCATCTATAAAACCTCGAAAGCCCTTGCAACTTTATACTCAATGAAGTTTGAGCCAAACCCTCACATGGCGGGCAGGATAATAAAAATAAAACCAAAGAACCCAGCGCCTCTGGGGACCCCTGGACGGCCTGATCCAGCCACCCAACCACCTCCCCTTGACATGGGCATCATTCCTTCCAGCTTGCTCCGAAAGCCACACTGTTGGGTCTTCCCAAATTACGCACGGATTGATTTCGCCATTCCCTGTGTAGAAAAGATGAGCTAAAATCCATCTGCCTGTACATATTCCCTTTGTTCCCCATCAGCAACAACAGGAATAGACATTTATATGCAGTATTTAAAAAAAAAAAAAAAAGGCCAGGGAGGCTTCCTTTTTTAGGGGGAAGAGCAGCCCAGATGAGCTTGGCCAAGGCTGCGGGATCCGACCCCGCCGCAGCTGGCGGCCAACGTGGGGAAATACAAACCCAGCTGTGCTTGCTAGGGGGTCTCATGCTTTCAAAACGCTGTAATCTTGGCAAAAAGGAAAAAAAGTCGGTCCAATCCTGCAACCCAGACCTCCTGCCAGATGGAATCATTGGGCCGGTACCTGCCGTGGTGCTGGTCACCCCCAGAGTCGCCTTGGGGAGCCCTGGCTTTGGGTGTGCGGCAGAGTGGGAGCCCCTGGGGACCAGGCAGAGAGTTGGAGAGTAGTAGAAGTAAAACAAACCTGCAATGACATCAGGGGGGAAAAAAAAATCCAAGCAAGGAAACTTCTACGGCAACACAAAACAGAGCTGAAGCGGACAACCTGCCCCAAGGAACCGTCCCCGGGAACTCACAGTAACTCCAGGGTGTGCTGGGACGTGGGGATTGGATGTGCAGAAAATTGAACACCTTGTGTGCGGTCACCCATGAAGGGAAACTCGGCTGTCAGCAGGGCAGGACGTGGGGTACCAGGGGCAGGAGCTTGATCTTCACAGAACCCCAGAATCATCTCAGTTGGAAAAGCCCTTGAAGCTCCTCCAGTCCAACCATGAACCTCACCCTGACCGTTCCCAACTCCACCAGATCCCTCAGCGCTGGGTCAACCCGACTCTTCAACCCCTCCAGGGATGGGGACTCCCCCCTGCCCTGGGCAGCCCATTCCAACGCCCAACAGCCCCTTCTGCACAGAAATCCTTCCTCAGAGCCAGCCTGACCCTGCCCTGGCACAGCTTGAGGCCATTCCCTCTTGTCCTATTGCTTGTTTCTTGGCTCCAGAGACTCATCCCCCCTCTCTGCACCCTCCTCTCAGGGAGCTGCAGAGGGCCAGGAGGTCTCCCCTCAGTCTCCTCTTCTCCAGACTAAACCCCCCAGTTCCCTCAGCTGCAGATTAAACACCAGCATCTTTCACCCTGCGATTACTCTCCCTGGGGGAAAACGTAGGGTTTCCTCCAGCCTTTCTTCTCCAGGATGAAAAAGCTTCCCCTCCCCAGTGTGGCAGCAGGGACCCTCCTAAACCCACCGAGGAAGCTCTGGGTACACGAGTCACCCGATCACATCCATCTTCAGAGGCAAACAGCCCCAGGTCTGGGACAATCCAGCGGGCAGGGGGCCGGGAGCACCTTTCCAAGCGGGAGGGCTTGTGGCTCACCGCAGCGGGCCATCGCCGAGCGAGTATTGAATGCAGTGGTGCGCTTGGGTTTCAGTGGGGAGGAAGGCGGCGTGCCCTGAGCGCTGGCCGTCCCTGGTGAACATGTGCAGAACACATCTGGAGGGGCTGCATGACACCAGCACCCTCTGTGCAAAGACAGAAGCATCCTGTGATGGGGCCCCCTGCAGCCCCTTCCCCCCCGCCAGCATCGCCTGTTCCCTGCAGGGATCCTGCCCAGGAGTTGGGGAGGAAAGGTGCCAATTGATTTCTGTGTGCACGGGGGGGGGCCTCTCCTGGCTATGTCCTCCCCGCTCCATGCTTTTGTGGGTGATGCACTTGAGGGTGGCTGCCACAGCAGAGCCACCAACAGCCACGGACAGGGGAGCATGGCTTTTGGAAAATGCATTCATAACCCCAAGGGTCTGTAACTTTCGTCTAGAAAAAGAAAATAAATATAAAACTGCTTATTTTTGACCTGACACTGTCTCCTGAGATGCCCCTGGCTGCGGGGGGAGCCTGAGCTTCCCAGGGCTGACCCGGGGTGAGCAGCCTGGCCACGTCCACGCCTTCTTGGCACCAGTGGTTCTGGGACTGTGTTGGACCTCAAGGAGCAGCAGTAGGAGGGAGCAGGATTAGATCAGGCTCCAGCCCAGGGCATAAGCTGAGAAAACACAGCCAAGAGAAAAGAGTTGTCATGGGAAGGTTCATCTGATCATTGTTTTGACCGACAGACCCAAATCCCATGCCTGGGAGCCAGTGGAGTTTATATCAGGACCCTATTCTGTGCTGGGTGCTTGGTGGGTGTCCCTGTCCCCTCTTCAAAGACATCTGAGGAACTGGAGCTTGGTTGGACCAGAGCTCAGGCAGAGTTATCTTTCAAATGGATTTACAGAGCGCTGACTTGGGAATGCCATGAAGTTTTATTTCCAGTGCATAGCTCAGGGAAAAAAAAATCTTTCCAAGAAAACCTCTAGTCAACAGATAAGACAATGTGGTTCCGATTTCCTCACCCCCTCTAAATAATTGTTTCTTTTCTTTTAAAAAATTTTGTCCCAGGGAAACGTTTCTAATTTAATCCCCTGCATGCACCTTCCTCACTGCTTTGAATGTGTATTATCTTCCAGCCAGTGCTCCGGAGCGAAGCAAGAATTTTTGATTTAAAAGAAAAAGAGAAAAGAAAAAAACGCTTAACAAGCACAATGCGCAGCAAACAGGAATGGAAATGCCCGTCTGGGTTCCATTATCCCTGACCCAGAGGTTGGAAACCTAAAGAAATTAATTAAATTGGAGAGGGGGGAGGCCAGCACCATTTTCTGCCAGTGACCAGCCCAGGAGGGATGCCCAGGGGATGTCTGTCACCCATCAGCACTCCTCAGCATGGCTAGGGGGAAGAGTCGCTTTTAACAATTTGAAAGCCCCCAGCTTTGTGTAGAGGGTCCCAAGGTGGGGATCCCCAGCACAGGGATGGGTGTAGCCATGGAGTTGGGATCCTAAACAGCTTTTTGCTGCGGTGAGCCCTGACCTGGGAGTGGGGCCAGCCCCAAGGAGGCTGGGGACAGCTGGGGACAGCTGGGCACAGGCTCTGCTGTGTGACCGTGGCTGTTCTGTGCGCTGGGAAGGTGAAAAGTGTCTTTTCATGGGAGGCTCTGTAATCAAGCCAGAGAGCACACGGATGGTGTGTGCTGCTCTTGGCCAACTCACCTGAAAAAATCTTGCCTGAGGTCATGTGAGAGGTAAGATGGGGCCATGGGGCAGGGTCCAGCCTTGCTCTGTGCATCTGACTCCAGGGTCCAATTTCAGCCATGGAAGAATAAAATGAAAAAAATTAATAAAATGCTTCAAATAACATCTGGCAATGAGGAGGGTGCAGGCAGTGCCTGAGCTCATGTAGCTGGAGATGCTCAGCGAGAAGCTGTGCCATTAGTTCCCATGCCCATCAAGACACAAAGCCCCACAGGTGCACTCCACCGGATCTCAGAATCCCAGAATCACCTCGGTTGGAAAAGCCCTTGAAGATCATCCAGTCCAACCATCAACCTCACACTGACCATTCCCAACTCCACCAGATCCCTCAGCGCTGGGTCAGCCCGACTCTCCAACCCCTCCAGGGATGGGGACTCCCCCCTGCCCTGGGCAGCCCATTCCAACGCCCAACAGCCCCTTCTGCACAGAAATCCTTCCTCAGAGCCAGCCTGACCCTGCCCTGGCACAGCTTGAGGCCATTCCCTCTTGGCCTGGTGCTGGTTCCTTGGTTCAAGAGACTCATCCCCCCTCTCTGCACCCTCCTGTCAGGGAGTTGCAAAGGGCCAGGAGGTCTCCCCTCAGCCTCCTCTTCTCCAGACTAAACCCCCCAGTTCCCTCAGCCGCTCCCCAGCAGACCTGTGCTCCAGACCCTGCACCAGCTCCGTTGCCCTTCTCTGGACACGCTCGAGTCATTCAATGGCCTTTTTGGGGTGAGGGGCCCAAAACTGAACCCAGGAATCGAGGGGCGGCCTCACCAGTGCCGAGTCCAGGGGTAAGATCCCTTCCCTGTTCCTGCTGGCAACGGACACAATCTTGACAGGCACAGCCTGGTCTCCATCGTCCCCAGCCCCTTGGCAACTTGGCCAAGCCAGGAAGGATGAAATGCGAGTGAGATGTGGGATGGCGGCATTCACCCTCATCCCTCTGCGCAGTAATCGGAACAAAATGTTCTTCCATTGTTTGCAGAGGAGTGTTGGTTTCAAACTATGGCAAGTATTTAGGAAAACACAATTGAGTCATAAAGGTTATTTACAATTTGGAGCGCTCTATACATTGCTCCAAGCCCCACAATTAAACTAATCGTCTTGGTTTGAACATAGCCGGGTAACATAGAGGACTTTCCCAGTCCTTGGCTGAGAGTGTTAACATCTTGCAGAAGCGCGGCGGCTCTGGGCAATGGGCTCGGCACCTCCGCTGCTGTCACAGCTTTCCCGGGTGCCGACTGCTTCCCGCCCACTGGCTCATCCCTGCTGAAGGAGGGCACCTCCTGGGACCCCGCCAGCTCCCAGGCAGGAGGCCACCGGAGGGTCCTCCTGCTCCCTTCAGCCATCCCGATCTGTATCCACCACGGATGGAGCAGCCGGGCAGGAAAAGCAACCGCAAACCAAGAGGGAGTCCCGTGTGGGCACACCCTGGAGAAGGGAAGGGAGAGCTGTGCTCTCGCAGCCCCGGCTCACCGGGATGGTGAGCAGAGCTCAGATGGGACACCAGGCTCTCACTCAAACGTAGATGAATGCTGCAACACCCAGGACTCACCTTATTTATCACCCATCACCTTGGCCCCGGGGGAGCTGGCATGTCCCCGGTGAGCCACATCAGGGCAGGCACTGAGGGACTGCACCCAGGGCTGGGCTGCTGCTGTTTTCCCTCTTTAACCCTTTTAGAAAAAATAAAAAGGAGTGAAGCTCCCGCTGGTTATTCAAGAGCTGTTTGCTTTAATTCCTTTCCAGAAATACACTCTCACTGGTGCCCATTCAGTGCACGCAGTTAAAAAGGGGGAAGAAATGTGTAAAATGGCATTTCTGTGCCCACATCCACAGCCTGTGCTGCCCCATGTCAGCGCCGGTGGCAGCTTTACCTGCTGGCTTGCCTTTCCCAGTTTGGACCTGTTTTTTCTTTCAAAACCTCATTCAGCTGCTTTTGGCACATCTCGCACAGGAGGGGATGGACTCAGCTGGATGAGCCCCTGGGACAGGAGCAAAGACGTGGCCACCACCTCTGCCTCCCACGGTGCCCATCGGTCCCTGCTGGGTTGGTGGCCCCTGGCGAGGAGGTAACGGGCTGCTTCACAGCCCAGCATCCAGCAACGCTTTTCCCTTCGCTTGTGGCTTGGGCTGAATTCACTCTAGAAAGGTGAAAGCCTTATTGTAAGCTTTCTGGCCACTGGAATTCCTCTCCAGGGCAGGCAAGGCAAAAGCCACTGCAAAAACCCAGGGGGAAAAGCCTGGCAAGCCCCTTTCTGTGCTGCTCCCTGCCCTCTCCTGCTTGGCCGTGATGCTGTCGGCGCTGGACCATGCCCGTGGGATGCTCAGCTCCTCCCGAACGCCGGCCGCTCAGACACCTCCGGCACCAAACTCCCTCCAAACAGGCAGATTTCAGCCCCAGGGCCACCAACAAAAAGCATCAGTTATAAAAATCCCAGGTTAAGCAAACAGGAAGGCGCAGCCCAGCGCCTCTGTGCTGCCAGGCCAGGGCCCGTTAAAACAAGACCTGTTTAAACGCGGTGGGGCTGGCGGCAGACTTGTTGACTCCGACCACCTTTCCAACCCGGCCGCTGCCGCCGGGGCAGCCCGCGAGCATCGGCAGCGACGGGCCACGGGACGGGGTGGCCGCACAGGGCTGCGCTTGTCCTCGGGGCTGAGCCACAGAGCCCGCAGGGCAGCTCCAGCAAGGAGCTATTTCGGGTTTCTCAGTAAACCTGTGGCTTTTTGCAGACAAGCCTGATACAACGGGGTTTTATACATTACACAGGTTGCTTTGATCTTTTTTTTTTTTTCCCCTGCAAGAAGAAACGTGTGCAACAGAATGTGCTAACAAGCAATCGATTATTATAAACTACCCCGGCCAGTTGCTGGCTGTTTCAGACACCGTTCTTGCTCTCACCTCCCTGTGATCACTGTGATTTGGGCTCACCAAGCAAAACCCACGTGGTGAGACAATTTGGGATGATTCTAAACACAGACCGAGATGAGGAGGGACTCCAAAGCAAACAGGAGGGACAAGGGAAATTCAGGCTGAGGTCCCAGGGTGTTTCTCCCAGCCTGGGGGCACTGCCCAGCCCCGGCTCACTGTGCTGCCCCAGGGATGAACTGTGGGACAGACAGACTCTTCCCAGGGCGACAGCGAGGGCAGCGTGGGCACAGCTATGCTGGGAATAAAGCAGCTTTGAAGGCTCAGTGCTTGTGGCCCACATGGGGGTAGGATGGGATGAAGGAGCAGGACCTGGGTGCTCTGCCTGATGTCAGACCTCAGGAAAGCTGTGAGCCCTGAGGGGGCACTGGTTGAGGCAGGAGGCTGCCCCAAAGTCTCCCCTCATGCCTCTGCAGCCATCACACAAAGCAACGGGTTGGTGAAAGCAACACCAACACCCACCCAAAACTAACTGTGGTATTTATTCACCTTTTTTGAAAATTCTTGTGCTGACGATTTCCAAACGGAGCAGCCTGGCAAATAAATCAATCATCAGGCTGTGCCTGTGATGCTGTGGCCAGAAGGATGAACAGAAAGAAAGAGAATGATGAGAAAAAACAGAGAACAAAAGCAGGTGAACAGGTTGGCTGGGAACCTTCTGTGAAATATGTGTAAAGAAGGATATGGATGAAAAATACAGAGAGAGGCAAGACATGCAGTCTGTAAGGGAGCCGACTGCTCTTCCTCCTCCCCAGCCAGTCCCTTTTGACCTTGCCCATCCTCCTCCATCAGTCCCGCAGGGGGTACGGCCAATTCCTGTCTTCATAAAACTTCTTCAGGCCCTGGAGGTTGACATGGGGAAAGTAAGGCCCGATCCTCTTCCGAATCCACCATCTCCCCTCACTGGCATGCTTCCCCCCGGGTCGGCTGAATTTGTACTTGAAGTGTTCCCCTCGGATCCACCTGCAGAGGAATGAAGCACAGCCTGCTCAGGGGGGTGACACCACTGCCAGGCCAAGGTGGGAAGTGGTTGGGCCCTATTTATGCTTCCCTGGGAGTGGAGTTTTTGAGCCTTTCCATAGCCAGGTGGAGAAAAGTGTTTGTGGGCGCTCAGCCTGGCTGGCTCCCACCTCCTGGGGCTCCATCCGTCCATGCCAGGGAGGCACTGGGGAGCTCCTGGGCTCCCCTTGCTGCAATTTCATAAAGAATCATCTCGGTTGGAAAAGCCCTTGAAGCTCCTCCAGTCCAACCATGAACCTCACACTGACCGTTCCCAACTCCACCAGATCCCTCAGCGCTGGATCAACCTGACTCTTCAACCCCTCCAGGGATCCCGGGGACTCCCCCCCTGCCCTGGGCAGCCCATTCCAACGCCCAACAGCCCCTTCTGCAAAGAAATCCTTCCTAACAGACAGTCTAAAATATCCAGTAACGAAGCACAAAGCAGAGGAGCTTCAACACCCCCAACCTGTGTGCTCCCCACTGCCGCCACGCACTCACACACCTCACTACAACCAAGTTTGAAAGAATAATAAAAGTAGGATTATTTTTGGTTTTTTATATCCTTTCTGAGAGCAACTCTGAAGAATTTCTGCCTGGGAAATTTCTAGGTACAGAGCCCAGCTCTCACCCCAGCTCCCCCAGCATCCCTCTGCCCCAGCCAGCGGCTGCTCCTTCTGCTCCGCAGCTTATTAGCGGGGCTACGAGCGCATCTGTTTTCTGGCCGCCCTGGGAGTTGACAGAAAAGGAGATTTTAAAACAGTGCAGAAAGAAGCATTCATCAGTGTCGCGAAACACATTCGGAGGCTAACCATGCCGCTCGGTTCGGGAGGTTTGGTCCCACTTGATGTAGGGCATGCTGACAAGAGAAGGAGTAACACCCCAGTCCTCCGGCGTTGTGGTCCCTGTTTGCAGAGTGCATCGCCGCGTTTGCTGGGTAAGTTCATAAAATAACCCACAATATAAAAATGTCAAAGTCATGTCAATGCTCATTTAAACCTGCTTTGCTTCACTACTAAAATACAAACCCTGCTACTGAGCAGGGCACCACGCTCCCGCAGCTGCTCGCTCCCGGGGCTGCACCTCGGGCAGCCGTAAAGTTCCTTCCTAGTGCTAAAATAATTAGGGATGACTTGTAGATATTTGCCATTAGCGCTCACCTTCGTAACACTGGCATTGCGATAGGAAGCAGGGGAGACTGCAGACACCAGATAAAACTGCACCCAATTAAAAGATCTGCTGAAATCACATCTTTGACGTCTCAATTTAAATCTTGCTGGGTACCCAGATGAGCAATACAGAAAGGATTCTCCTAACAAAACACCTTAATACTCATCACACCCATCACTTGCTGCTGACTTGCAGTAACTGTGGTATCACGTTTTTGGAATGTCTCCTGGCTGGAATAAAAACAGGACAAATATCTCCATGTTTCCTCCTCTGCTGAGGATGAAGAGGGGATCCAAGGAAGCCCAGACTAAAGCATTTGGAGCTGCACTAGGACAGCTCTGATTTAACTACGGGTAAGGGCCGCGTGCCAAGGGAAGCGGGGGGATGGAGGTGTCCCCCAATGCCTCAGCACCCCGTGGCAGAGCCTTCTGGGCTGCCCCAACACCGCGTCTCGCTGCCCGCTGACGGGGGGCTGCGGGGAGGCAGGACACCAGCCTACAAATACAGGAAGGGAAATGGGAAAAGGAGGGGGTGATGCCATGGCCCTGGCCGGGGGCTCGGGGTGCACAAACCTGCATCTCATCACCATAAATGCTGCCCCGCAGCTGCTGGCTTCATTACAACCAGGGCCATTTCTACACCCTCTCCCCTCCCTCTTTTCTGAGACTGGTAAAAGTCAAATGGAGGCTGAAGTGTTACTCCCACAGTGTTTACTTCGCAGGAGCACAAAATTTCCTGTTAATAATTAGAGCATTACTGCACAGCAACGTTCCCGTGGGTCCAGGTAGCCTGCAGGCTCCTGTCCAGGACAGTTAGAGATTTCCAAGCTGTGCTGCTTGATTGCTTTCTTGAATTCAAAAAAACATACTCACCTCCCCAAAAAGCTTCAGTGGCTCATTTTATGTCAGTCCCTATCCTGCTCAAAGCCTCCCTCTGCTTTTGGAGTTTTTTCTTCTCTAAGTGACTGCAGAGCATCTATCAAGCTGGACATGTCTACATACACCCCCACTAAGGGTATAACGGGGGGCCCCGTGTGGAAGGAGCTATCTGCAAACCTCATTTGGCAGAGTTCCCATTTTCTAGATGGGGATGCAGAGCGCAGAGAGCAGTTGACTTATCTGGGCTCCTGGGGCAGGGCGAGGAGACTCAGGGAGATGCCAGGTCTCTGCTCAGACACAGAAGCACCTTCGCCTCACCCTCAAGGACTGTCCTATAACCCCTCTGGAATGAAAATGTCCTTGTCCCTTTTGAATAGGCTTGCCTGCCCAGATTAAATAATATCTATCATCTGATTTGGTGGGATTTTTCCCATATGTTCTCTATCTATTAAAATATTTGCTATCAAAGGGATCGACATGTAAAACTAGAACCGTGTGAGTGTTAGAGCGACCACAAGCAACTGAAGATGCATTTTTGTGGCATAAAGTTTGCCCTTCTATCTGACTGTGTTCCAGGATCTTCTGTTCAGAGCCTAAATCAATCGGAAGAGTCCCCCCAAGCCCCCTGACTTCCAAATTCAGCCACCCTCTTGTCCCAGGCACGGTCACTCTGCTTCATCCAGCCCGCTCCACCCAAGCCATGAGCTGGGATGGTCACGGTCCATGTCAGGATGACAGGATCCATGGAGGAGGAACCTGCACAGTTCCATGGGCTGTGGAGTTTGGAAACCCCGCGGAGCTGAGCTCTCCCAGGAGCTGAACCGCTCACCCAGCGATGAGCTATAAAGCTCCAGCACACCACAGCCCACGGCTCTTTGCTGTCCCTCACCATCACTGCTTCTCTAGGATTCAAGACTTGAAGGGAGATACCTTCAAGATACAGCCAATGTGTGCTGCAGGATGCAGAAACTGCAGTGGGAATACCTCTGAGCATCACAATATCTCTGAGCATCAAAATACAACAGCAGCATCCAGACCCTGCGCTATCCATCCTCTCCGTCATTCCCCAGGTTAGGGGCTGTGGGAGAAATGCAGAAAACCTGGAACCCGTGGGAATCCTTCCTTGCAAGGCTCATGGATGTAAAAGCTGCAGAGTTTAATACTCACCAGAGCCCCTCATTTCAGGGCTCATAGAGTTTACAAGCTACCCCAGTATTTATAATCTACCTGGGTGCCTCAGTCCTGAAGTTACAGGATTTGCAAACTCCTTCAGCACTGCCTCACTGGACCCGCTCCCTCCTCGCGGGATTTAAGGAGCAAACACGCTCCTGCACTAGTGGGGCCAAAGCATTAATGCCCCAGAGTCCATCATTTCAGGGCTCACAGACTTTACAAGCATCACTTGGAGCCCTGGACAGCTTGTAACTCAGGCAAGAGGCATGCACGCATGGTTGCCTGCAGATTAAGAAACTGCTACAAGCTACAGATTGCCTTATCAGCAATTGCTTGTGAGTTCTGCAACTTTGGGGCTCAGACAAAGATTTTCTGGCTGGTGGAAGGGAACCCGCAGGTCTCTGAGCTCCTTCTGATGCAGGAAACTGCCAGCATGCATGAACCTCGCTTGCTGCTCTGGAGAAATGGGAACATCTTCAAGAAGGTCACAGGGAAACTGCCTGACCTTGTCCACATTAAAAGAGACTAACGTCACAGGTGATCACTCAGAGAGGGATGAGCAAGACTCATGTTTCAGAGGAGACAGAAGGGTCAGGAAGGACAACCCTGGCTGCAAACGGTTTCTCAGGATTTACTGACTGAACACAAGCTGGCAGCTCCTCCTGGCTCCCTGGGAAGCACCAGGCACCACAGCCCAGCGGTGAAATGGCTCAGGAGGAGCATTAGGCTGAACCAGCTAAGCCTGGGTTCAGTCCCTTAGGAGATGCACGAGGGCAAAATAATCACTTGAGAAGCCAGAAAGAAGCTATGGTCAGATAAAACAAGTCAGACATTTCTTCTCCAGATGGAAAAGCCTCTTTGCTACGACAACAATGGGGACAAGGGACAGAAGGGACCCTTTGGCAGCATCTTCCGAGCCCAGTGGTGGTGCCCAGGAGGAGCTGGCAGAGCGCTGGTCCCAGTATGGGTGGCTGGAATGGGGAGGACCACTGAGCCACCCAGGACCCACTGCCCTGCACGGGACGCCGGGACCTGCCACCACCCTTCTGGGCAAGCACCCACCCTCCATCACCACCTGGGTTGGGCAAGGCTACAGCCTCAGGGAAGGCAGAAAGGCTAAAAATAATAAGCATTATTTTTTTAATCAATATATTCATCCCGCCAGATGCCCGGTAGCAGCTGCGCTGTAGCACTTTTAAGGTTCGATCATATATCAGCCTATTATGACATCTTCCAACTGTACGTGTTAAAAATTAGCAGCAATATTGGAGTTGTTGGGATGGAAGGCTAAATCTCCCAGACAGCTGTAATTAGTTCCAGAGGGTGCAGCTGTCTCCCTGCAACAGCTGAGGGGTTCGAGGGAAAAAAACAGAGCCGGTGGTTTCTGTTAGAATTAATGGCCTGACAGGGCAAGGCGGGGTGGGAGAGGGAAGAAAGAAACCAAAACATGGGGCGTCTTTTCGATTTTTTTTTTTTTAGTTTTTTATCTCAAGGTTCCCCACTCCACTGTAAATCAGGGAGCAAGTGGCAGTGGAAAGTACAAATTCATTACAGTAACAGAGACTCCATCATCGGCTTTCTTGCTTATTCTAGCCCCGTTAGCAGGAGGGATCATAAATTCATCTTGGCCCAAGTTTGTAGAATAAGGGCAGTTTTATGGATTGTTTTTCAACGCCGCTGACTTCTCTTTCTCCAAGGCTCCTGCAAGGTCTGGCCCTGCAGAGCCAGAGCATCCCAGCAGGC